CTTTAGACAATAATTCTGATGGCAAAAGAGCCAAACAGGACAGGCACAAAAAAAATGTATGTACAAAGGCAGTCTGGAGGAACAGCAGAGTCTACCGCTGCACGCTGAATCCCTGTAAAGAGAACTGATTACAAAGTGTGCAAACACTGAATGGCATTTAATGAAAAATGTAGACCATGTAGTCCTTTCATCCTTGTAATTGCAGTGGCGTCCAATTGTTGCAACAAGCATCAAACAATGATCAAATTTACTGGTATTTTCACACATTCCTAAGTTCACACGAACACCTGTCGGCTTGAGTGAAAGCAGAAAAAGCCATTTGGCAGGAGTGTGTCTGTGCTTGTGTGTGAATCAGCGCAGCCGAGTATTTGTCTCTGTGCCAGTGCATGTGTTGATATTCTAATTTACACACACAAGCATTGCTTTTATGTCAGAAGAGGTCATTTTGTGTGTGTGATAAGTCAGAATGATTCAGTTCTTACACGGAGAAGTCTTGAGGGAATAAGGAACAAATGCAGCACAAACACAAGCACCAGGGTTAAGAAGTCATTCGGAGCCTTGGACTTGGCCTCAAGCCTCGAGGAAAATCCGACTAACACAATAAAAATGCGATTTTTCCTCTGCTTATACTCCAGTAATTTGTATTAGGTCTTACGAACAAAGCCCCTTGTAATAAACATTAAGTGGACAACTTTTGGGAAAACAAACAATAAATGTGTTTTTTCCTGGTGTAATAAAGATGACTGAGGGTTACATGTTCTTAGGGTCCTACTTTAGTCGGTACAATCTCCTATTATTCTGCTCATCTTTCCTTTTCTCATCTGTGTGCCGACATCTCTGTTTGCACATTATCACTTAAAGGTTGCTCCTTAAATTAGAAAGCATCTCGACTCAGCCCTGGAAAAGGCTAATAGCGTTTTTTAAAGTACAAAAGTACCTCAATACAAATTAGAAGAACCTTGACACAAATCGAGCTGGTAAGCTTCAGCTACGGCTACATAAAGCCACAGCCGTTTATTTCTACATTTAGCCCCTGCGTTTGTGTTTGTGAAAGCCCATTCAGAGGCTCTCACCAGACATATAGAGCTGAAATCTATAGAAGACTAAGGGGACTTTTTTACCCATAATTCCCTCCATTACCAGTGTTTGCACCAGCATGAACTGTGTAGATATTTTAAGCTGTAACAGCTTTAGATTTGTTTACCGATCAGGATGATATAAAAGGAGCAGGGATGTTGAACTAAAAGGAGGTGTGAAAGAGTGGTTGAGCGGGGGATATTGAGAGGTGCTTGAGACGTGAAGTGGTGACAGTCCATGTGGGCAGAGAGAGAGAGAGAGAGACAGAGGACAACAGGACATTGACTTGGAGACATGAGGGTGCAGGAGGCGTGGGTGACTGACAACGAAGCTGAGAGGGAGATGGAAAAGGAGATCAAGCAAGTAAGAGAAAAACAGGAAATAAAGGATCAGAAATGAACTTTAGGGACCTTTTCAGCAGCAACGCGATGATTATGATTTAAAATGATCCAACTACTACTGTGAAAAATCTAGAAACAAAAATATACCACTCACTATTACGGAATAGAAATTTATCTTCATATTTTCATATGTTGTCAGAAATCGGTAGACCAGCTGCTGATGTGAGCTACTCCTGTTTGTGCTGTTGTTAGCCTGCTAGCTTATCTCCTGCCTGGAGGAGTTGGAAGTCCTAACATGCAATGAATGTGCATGCTTTTAACGTTGTAAACTTGGACCATTTAACATGGGAGGGCTCTGAGCGCACGGCGTATTGCAACACAAAAGGACATTATGAAGCAGAAATGATAAAGGGAGTTAAAGGATTTTGCACATGAATGTATACAGATCTGAACAGAGACTTTTATCTAAGCCTGTGAACAAATCTTAAAAAAGAAAAAGCTTTTTGTTGCTCCAGAGAGAGTGGTGTGAAGTCTGACAAACAGCCGCAAGGAGTCGGTGCTGAAGACTACAAGTAGAAACTGAAAAAAAGTTTGAGTGCACAAAAAAGTGAGCTTCCCCAATATCTCATCTCTGCTTGAGGCTATCAGCTCAAGGCTACGATAGGTTTTAAATGCATAACACACCCGAATCAAACTGTCAGTGGTCAAAGTGTATTATGGGTAATGCATGAACTTTGTTTCAATGCAGAAGAACGCATAGGTGTGGAAGTTTGAAGTATATTCACGTCTAATGCAATGACTGCGTGCCTAACCAAGATAAAGACCCTCAGATTATCTTATGCCTCCCTGGAGACGTGTGCACAGAGTTGCCAAAACACATTTTAGTACCAGGAGGACGTACATGATTTCTAAACATAATCCTGAGATGTGACCACTGAAAACAAAACCAAGCATGCTGCAATGCAGGAGTGAAGTCATTTTTGGTTAAAAGGGACAAAAAATAAATACTGAAAAAGAAAAGGGAGCGTTAGAAGAAGACGGCGGAGGAGAGAAGTGACTTAAAGTGACAGGTTGTTGTCAGAGCGGCGAGACCCTGGAAGATAGATTAAGACAGGGTCAGCAACTTGACGCTAATGTCACGACTCATGACTAACCACGGCTGTGTGTGCATAGGTGTGTGTGTAAAAACAGGGTCAGCAGTTTTTATTTGTCCAGAGTGGACTAACCCAGAGAGTGGAGCGTGTTTGTGTTTGCTTGAGAGGATGTCAGTACGAGGCCAGGAACTTCTGCACCATGAGGGTGCTTGACACAGTTTGTGCATTTGGGTGTTTTTTGTGTATTGGTGCATGTGTGCGTGTCTGTCTCCATGACCGTTTGCACTTGTTTGACCTAACGCTGCCTGGTCAAACCATTTCGCTTCCCTTTGTTTTGGTGCATTTTCCCTCACAAACCGTTCACGCTGAACAGTCACTTGTACTCCTCGTCACAAAAACAGATTGCTGTTGTATCTCTGCTGTCGACTGCTTGTTTCCAGCTTAGCTTATGTTTGCTGCCAGAGAAATGTGCAGCAAAGAGCGGCATTTAAAGCTGCTCTTTGTTTTAAATATTGCAGTAACTTGCGTGTAAAGATTCAAGATTCACACATGAAAGACTACAATCAAGGCCAATGGTGGAAACAGAAAGAATCGATGGAGAATGCCCAAATTTAAAGGAATCAGTGCTGAATGTTTCTACATTCAAATTCAGAGTTTTATTTGTTCGGTCTTCTATAGCAGGGTGTGAAATTGCAATCTTTAAACCCGCAGGGATGGATTGATCCATTTTGGCGAGAGATATTTAATGCACTTCAGTTTTATTTATATAGCCCTAAATCACAACAAGGCACTTTATATTGTAAGGTAAAGACCCTATAATAATTCAGAGAAACCCCAATAATCAGACCACCCCTATATATGAGCAAGCACTTGGTGATAGTAGGAAAGAAAAACTCCCCTTTAACAGGAAGAAACCTCCAACAGAACCAGTGTCAGGGCGGGGCACAACTGGCTGTGGGTGAGAGAAGAATGATAAATGCAGAGCAGTGTAGAGACAGTAAACAGCAATGACACAATGTCACATTGCAAACCTGGCAAGGCAAACATTTCTTCTTTGGGGCTATCTACTTATTAAATTAAGTATTTTAGATTTTAGCTCTGTTTTGGTCTCCACCAATTCCTGAAAAAAGTAACCTGCGCCGTAGCTAAGAGCTCATATAAGATTTGACTGTTTAATGCAGAAAAGAGTCTGTAGAACAGTTTTATTAAAGGACCCTGGATGTTAGCTATTCTGGGGCCATCCACTCTGTCCACTGTAACTGGTGTCTTTAAAAGAGTAAATGAACCAGCCAATTTGTTGATGGTAGGGATACACGGAGCATGCTGATCATTGTACTAGACAGACAGCAAACAAGCTAAGCACGATGTGAAAGAGACACAAAAGTTACTGATTTCTTTTCCTGCAATGAAAACGTCCCCTGTGGATTTCTCCAGAGCTGATTCTGACTAGAATTGATTGTGTTCTCATAAAAGCACAACCATCGTCTGTGATTGCAGTTTGCCAAGGGTGCTTTTGTTAATTATTTATTATCAAAATAGAGTTTTTGTATTCATATTTTAGCAATGGAACATGTAACTGTGTAACAATCTCCGAGTTCTTACTGTCTGCTTTGCTTCGAAGCTGCTATTGACTGTTCTGTAGTGATTGATTTTTTTCATCTGGGTTCCCGAGCAGCTCCAGCTGGCTACATCTGCTTCAGCTTTATTGTTTTAACTTGATTACAGATGCTGGCTACAAGTGCATCATCATTTACAGCACTTCTACAGACTCTTTCTTAAACTTCTCTTTAAGTAATGACTTTCCATTATTGCTTTTATTGCTTTATCATTTCATTGTATCTGTTCAAATGCATTGTAAAGCACTTTGCAACTATGTTCTATTGACTTCTAGGAAGAAAAAAAGTCGTCACACATATAAGGTTTCGCTGACAGCTCACCTGAGCTGTTTTCCTCACATGAAACACAGCGCAGGATTTCAGAACGTTTTAATTGAAGACACCTAACAGTTGTTTTCATACTGAATACAATTAAGTGAACTGAAACAGTTCGTGTGAAAATTCATAAATAGGTGTTAATGAACAGTAGAGTACTTAATCCACCCTTTCTCTGTCTGTCTCCAGGTTTTAGGTATCGACCTACACTGAGCTGACCCAGAGCACAACTCGGTAGAGTCCAGTGAAGGTCCACATCAGCAGAAATGGCTCCGGCAGCCATGTCTAAGCCTCCGTCCTCTCTCAACTCACTCCGCCCTTTCCACTTTTCTCCCTCTTCTTTCCTTCTCTGCCTCCTTCTCTCCTTCTTTTTGTTGCTGTCATGCCCTGGATCGGTCAGTGCAGGTGCCGGAAAGAAAAACTGTTCCTCTGGTGGAGACCCCTGTCAGGAAGGTGGGTCTGTGAGAAAACTGCAGTTTAATGTGAAAGAAGCACTGTAAAGAAGTAAAGAAGCACTGACATGATTAGACTTCCGCATGTAAACCTCTCAGTGAGTGCAGTGAACTGAGAGGGTTCAATAAAATGGGTTACGCCTCTAGTTTGGCTGCCTGTGAACCAGCCAAGTTTTTGCAATCAGGAGAACCGATAAACATGACGATCAGCCTGACACTCAACACATTTCAACACATTTTCTCCTTCGCTGATTATGGAGTATTAACATGCTAGGGAACACCGCCTCAGCATATGGAGCTCAACATTTTTGAAGCAGTGTCGGATCATCCTGACAGTGAACAGAACAAAAAGCAGCCAGCAGCCAAAGAAGAGCATTGGATGTCCTTCTAGAAGCCTGGAGAACTAAAGCAGAACTATAACCGTCGAGCTTGTTAGAATCGCATGAACTGTGCTGTTGTTTTATATACTTTTGCACATTTTCCATTTTCTTAGCAAAATATTAAAAAATGAGGCATGACGCAAATGTTTTGCACAGTATTGTGTATTTCTCTTATGACACCACTTAATTATTCTAAACCAAGTAGTATAACTTCTTATAACAGCATCGTCCATTCCATATGTCCTGTCCAGATGTGCAAGTAACATTGAAGGGACATATTTGCTAGGTGTCAATGGTCTATGAAAGTGAAATAAAGTCAGGAGAATATTCACGACAGTGTCACATCAGGCATCAGAAAGGTCTGCCAGATGAGCAAAAATGTGCGTTAGAAGTGAAATATGTCAATTTAATGCCACAAATCTAGAACGTTGATCACTTTGGGGTAAGTTTTCATGCTTTCATTAACTTTAACAGTTCCACTAAGTTTTAGTAGGACAAATGGGACCATATAGAAAATTTCCCACTTACAATAATCTTTAATGAGGTTATGCTGCCTCAGTGGTGTCCACAACATGCTCACAGTGGCAGGCTTTATAGGATTAGAGAGGCGGAAAATGATTACACAACTCTGTTGCAACCAAATATTCCCTGTGATATTGCTGAAAAATGATTTAACCTTTTTCCACCTTTATCTTTTCTTTTGATTGCAGGAGTGGTGCTGCCTGTCTGGAACCCTCAGAACCCCTCTGTAGGAGATAAAGTGGCACGAGCCATTGTTTACTTTGTAGCACTCATCTACATGTTCCTGGGCATGAGCATTATAGCGGACCGGTTCATGTCTTCTATAGAGGTAAGTCAATGAATATTCTTTGAATTGTTATTAGATTGCACTATAAGTTACTGATATTAGACCACTAATAGGTAACCTGTATAAAACTAATAAATCCAATATTATTTCTTTCTTTACGCCCTCTCCACTCCAGGTGATAACCTCCCAGGAGAAGGAGATCACCATAAAGAAGTCGAATGGTGAGACCACCACAGCCACCGTGAGAATCTGGAATGAGACTGTTTCTAATCTCACTCTAATGGCCTTGGGTTCCAGTGCCCCCGAGATACTGCTGTCTGTTATTGAGGTCAGTGCAACATGAGCCTGCAGGCTACACGTCAGATTAACTGATAGAGAATGTAATGGAAAGACAGTAATCTTATTTTCACCTCCAACTGCAGGTGTGCGGTCACGGTTTTGAGGCTGGTGATCTAGGTCCCAGCACCATTGTGGGCAGCGCCGCCTTCAATATGTTCGTCATCATCGCTCTGTGTGTGTATGTGGTCCCCGACGGAGAAACGCGCAAAATCAAACACCTTCGGGTGTTTTTTGTCACGGCGGCTTGGAGTATCTTCGCCTACATCTGGCTCTACCTGATTCTGAGTGTCTTTTCCCCTGGAGAGGTGGAGGTGAGGACAGTTTTATGTAAAAACTGCTGAAGTTTAAAGAAAGAAATCACTGGGATGAAATAAGAGGAGGAGAATAAAACAGAAACGCTTTTAATCACATCTCTTCTCTCATTCAGGTGTGGGAGGCAGTGCTTACTTTCCTTTACTTCCCACTCTGCGTGGTCCAGGCCTGGGTGGCCGACCGCCGCCTTCTCTTCTACAAGTATGTCCGCAAGCGTTACCGTGCCGACAAGAATCGGGGAATCATTATTGAGACAGAGGGTGGGGCTGATGGAGGGCTAGGCATGGATGGAGGAGGAGGGGGTGGAGTGCTGGGTCCAGGGGGCTTCACCAAGATGGACATGCTGGAGCTGGACGGACAGATAGCGCTGAACTGTCACAGCGGGATGGATGGAGGCATGATGGAGGATGGAGGAGCAAAGGACGATGAGGACGAGGCTAGGAGGGACATGGCAAGGACGCTAAAGGAGCTGAAGCAGAGGCACCCGGATAAAGACATGGAGCAGCTGATTGAGATGGCTAATTATCAGGTTAGCAGCACCCAATCCCATTGATGTCTAAGCTCTGGAAGTCATGACTATATCAGATTTCCACCACACGATTATCACGATTCAAATAACTTTTTAAAACCATATACAAAGAACAGGTTCATTGGCATTTGATAATAAGCAGGATTTTATAAAACAGTAGTAGCTATACACTTTTGCCTTCTTATACATGGTATACAGCCTAATAACCAGTACAACATCATCTGCACTCACTGGCCATCCCATTTGGTACACCTGTTCAACTACTCAATGCAAATATCCAATCAGCCAATCAAATGGTATTGTTTTAACACCACAGCCTACCTGAGGATTGTTGCTGACTATGTCCTTTCCATTATGATCGCTGGCTGCTTCCAGTAGGATAACACACCACGTCACAAAGCTCAAATGGTCTCAAAACGCTTTCTTGTACATGACAATGAGTTCACTGTAATCAAATTGTCTTCACAGTCTCCAGATATCTCAATCCAATAGAGCATCTTTGGGATGGATGCAAATGTGTGATGCTATTATTATGTTATATGGGCCAAAATCTCTGAGGAATGTTTTGAACAAGTTGTTGTTGTCCAACCTAAGACTAGCAAAGTGTATTCAATGACATGGCCATTGACTGTATATTAGAGTGTCAAAAAATAGTTGTTAATGCTGGAATATTCTCAGTATTAATATCTTATTATTATTATTATTATCTGTAAGTACTGATTCATTTTAGATGCCATGATTGTCATCAATGCTAATATATCATGACCCCTATTAATACTTTTTTAAATCAACTTTGACAACTTGTTAAATCAAGTTAAGTTTTGCGGTGTTACAAACAGAGGCGTGATTAGCTTAACTCAGGCTAGCATAAGCTGTAAAGCAACCCCCCCTAGTTTCTGTTGAAAATAATTTCCACTAGAAATGTTGTAGTTTTACAGAAGATTACAAAGAGACTGATTTCATTTAGACAATGAAAGATGAGATACGTATGTGCTGATATGGGGAAGTTTTGGAGGTGCTAGTAAACATAAAGATAAAAGCTAGCAACCAAAAGCTAATAGCAATAGCAAAATTTCAATAGTTCTCTCACTTCCATTCTTTAATTCTTAGACTTTTGACATATCATTATTTCAATCAATTTCCAGATTTTCTATCTAAACCAGTAGCACACGATGAGATATGTATGTGCTGGTATGGGGAAGTTTTGGAGGTGCTAGTAAACATAAAGATAAAAGCTAGCAACCAAAAGCTAATAGCAATAGCAAAATTTCAATAGTTCTCTCACTTCCATTCTTTAATTCTTAGGCTTTTGACATATCATTATTTCAATCAATTTCCATCTATCTAAACCAGTAGCACACGAGCAAACTTGAGTCACATTCCATATGTTACTCTTCTGAGGGTGATAATGACTCAGAAATGGTGCTATGACACATTCAGTGTGACTTTGAAAGTACAGGAAGGTGCAGTTCCCCGAGGAAACAGTACAAAGTTACAAAGAGGAAAATCTATAACGCTTACGGCAGTCTCATACAATCAAACCAATAGCATGTTCACATAAACTAAAAACATTAGCGACTGGTTAATTGAGTTGGCTGAGCATCAGCACATTATCTCAGTCTCTCTCAGCTTAACACACAGTAAAACTGTTTTATAAAGCGTTGATTAAACCAGTGTACTGAGTGGAAGCTGTCTGTTGGCTTGACTGACACCAGTAAAACCTTCACCCCTCTGCCATCCAGGTGATTTTTTGCCCGGTAAGTTACATGAAAGCTAAATATATTAACGTGAGTGCCCGTTCTGGACCCTGGAAGCCTTAAAAATATTGACTTGCGGTAACATTGCTGCCTTTTTTTTCTCAGCGATTGAGTTAATCTTTAAAGAGATGTAGCTAAATGCTTTGCTGAAGAACTTAAGCGGGCCTCAAGTTAATATTTTTTGGGGAGAATTTAGATTTGTGATGTGTTGGTTGTGATACCTTAAGCAAAAATTGTTCAAAAATTTAACTCATAGTTAAATTTGGCATTTTGTAACCACATTTTAGCTGTCAGCGCACACCCATACTCCTCTCTGGTAAAGCAGTTGCTCACACTTTATTAAAATGTTTAACTTTTATGGGGAGTAATCATTAAACTGGCTCATTAGAGATTCCTCTTTTTTATGCAGCACACACATTTCAGCTGTAGAAGCTGTCCAAGTCTCTGCTGCTCTCCCTTTCTCTGCTTTCCCACCAATTCCTTCCCTTGCCTCCTCTCCAACTCATTTCTATGTCTTTGGTTTCGGTTTTGAAGGAGGGGAGGGAAGGAGCTTGGCGGGCCAAATGTGCACTGGTCAGCTCCCAGAGGTTTGTTTGCTTTCAGGCCTCCCTATCCCTGCAGCTACTCCCTCCAGTCCGTGCTGTAAATAAGAATGACAGCTGCCCTGTAGATTAAACTTGACTTGCTAAATTTCAGTTCTTGCGGTCATAATGAATCACTGAATGTAAAATTAAATTGCCGTCATGGGATATGGAGCTGGGTGATCTTGTGCAGCAAAAACCCAAATCAGTTTCTTAACTAAACACTTACTTATTCCTTCTATCTAAAGAGATGCAGATATAAACATTCTGTCAGCTCACTTCCATTAAATTTGAATAAATTGCAGCGTTCTCGGCTCTGAGGCCACATTTAGTCTAATGATCTTTCAGCTACAGTGGCCACTTTGTTCATTTTCAATTTAGTGGATCGTTGGGATAATACATCACTATTGAGCCATACGTTTTTATTAAAATCGCTCCTTATAGATTGATAAACCTCATTAGAATGAAAGTTGGCAGTGAAGAGAGCCAGCAACCAAAGCCTGAAGTTATTACGTTAAATGACTCTTTGTCAGTATTACTGATTTAGTTTGTCTGTCTTCAGACAATCTTTCTGGAAATGTCAGGGAATCTGCTGTTGACCTTTGACACTGAGTTGAAGTTCAGTTATGGCGGTGTAGGATCTCCCAGGAGAAAATTCTCAGATTGTAGCTCTCTCTTTAAAAGTGATTGCTTTCATAAAAGCACGGCTGTTTGGGCCACAGCAAATTAAATTAACATGAAATGGTTTATTGATTCATTGCGTTTGTTAATTAGGTCCTAATGCAGCAGCAAAAGAGCCGAGCATTTTACCGCATCCAGGCAACCAGGATGATGATCGGAGCAGGTAACATCCTCAAGAAGCACGCTGCTGACCAGGCCCGCAAGGTGAGGCACGCACTCTATTTGCCTTTCTCCATTATATTATATTTGAAGCTACTGGAACCTTGAGCGTGTTTTTTCTCAGGTGGTAAGCAGCCATGAGACCCAGGCCCAGGAGGATGACCCTCACACCATCAGGATTGAGTTTGAACCCTCTTTGTATCAGTGCTTTGAAAACTGTGGGTCCCTGAAACTGACTGTTGGCAGACATGGAGGTGACCCCGGAGTTACTGTCAAGGTGAGTGCACGGGAGGGATGGACAGTAGATCATGAATAAAACTGTGTGTGTGTGTGTGTGTGTGTGTGAGCCTGTCTTTAAGGGAAACAAGTCTTGCAGAGTCTCATGCAAATAAAAGCAGACAGCAGAGACAGCAGAGAAAACAACAATATTCTGTGGGCTGACTTCCCTGACACCTTTTTCTATCTTAAGCAGATCTTGTGTCATGTGCTCACCTCCAGAGGCTTTGAGCACCTTTGTTTTTCTTTCCTGGTTGGATAAAGGCAGAGAAGTGGGTGGCAGAGGAGAGTAGCTGAGAGGCACCAGAGAAAACACCTTCATCTCCAGATTTCTAGTTTCTGGCTCAGGTTGTAACTCAAAGAAAGCGCACATCCTTTTGCAAAGGCTCATTGATCTCAGACTTAATGGTGGCTTAATGCTGGCTATGAATGAGAGCTCTCCCTGAATGAGAGAGTCTCCCGCTGAGTCTCTGTCAGTGGGATGATATCTGATCTGCTCAGCATTACTACGTTGGCTTCGCAAGGCTGGCTCTCCTTTATTCTTCTTCTTGTTTACAAATTAAACTGTGATGAGAGATCATAGTTTTCTGCTGGTGGCACGGCCTTAGTCAGCCGTCTGCTGAAGGATGCTTTGCAAACATGTTGTCAGAGCAGTCGAGAGCCAAAAGAAATATTATTCGTGTCATTTAGGTATTCTCAGAGAGCTCCCTCGTATCGATGGCTGGGTCAATGAAAGTTAAAAGCGACTTACTTTGCACTCATACATTGCTATCTAAAGGCTTTAAAGCACAGGAAAAGGTGCAAAAACATCTACACAGTGCTTTTTCCTTTAAAAGATTTAGCAATGTTAGCACAAGGCAGGCAGTTCCCATCTTTGAAAAAGTTGCCAAATCTTCTATGCTAATGCCAAACAGTTTATTCTGCTTTTGACTCTTGTTTTGACCCTGGTACCCCGGTGCTGATAATCAGGTGCCTGACTAGCAGCACATGTGAGCATGGACCTTGTTAAAGCGGTCACTTGGTGTCTGATCCAAGCATGCCATGTTTGGCTGATGTGGATAGACCCCGTGCCCTATCCAGGTAACCTCCAGCTGGTGTTCTGCAAAACTAAGCTGCAACATTATTTGGAGTAATCCAAATCCAAGTACCATTTCCAGGCAACCAGGAAATTGAAGGTCTAAATTGAAGGTCAAGTTCCATGAAAGAGGTGATGGCAGAGACAGGCTACCAAGTGGGCATCTGCAGATATGAACTGAAGGCACTCGTCCAGGGTTTGCAGGACCCAGCATGAGGAGGATGTACAAGGTCCGATAAACGACAATCCGATAAACGACAACAATCAAGAGTGAGTAGCAGAATAAGCTGGTTGATGTTGGCAGAGAATATTTGGCACAACCCGCATACTCAACTCTGCTGCTCAACCTACAAATGCATTTTCCTTACAAATGTAGCATCGGGGAAAACATTGTTACAACAAATAAATAATCAGCCAAATCATGTTTACTTACTTTATGTGCTAAGTTTATATACAGTTTATGATTGAACATTTGAAGCAAGTTCTAATCAAAATATCAACTTTTAAGCAGATATGGTGGAAAAACTGTGTTAGCAAACTGTGGCTGTTTTCACATCCAGCATGCACAGTGCGATATTAGCATCTCTTAGCAGCTCTGCTTGTAGCTACAATATGTACATGGTGCTAGTGTGATAGCAAGCTTTTATTAGCTGAGGGTGTTGAGGGTGAACTTGAAATAATTATCATTGTTTGAAGTCTTGAGTCACAGTTTGGTTCGATTAAGTTGGCAAAACATCAAAGTTTAGCATTTCACAAAAGACAAACTGTGTTTTCTGCGAGTCAGGTGATGAATCACAGTGGACTTGTTACTATTAGCAACACTGTGAATGTTTGAACAGTCATTTCAGCTGTTAAATTAAGATAAATATAATATAAGTTAAAATGCGTCCCTTATATACAGATACTAGGGGTCTTATTGAGGGCACGTCTGTAGTGTTAAGTCATTAATTTGAACCCATACAGCTCAAAAACAGTCATTCTCATCCAAGCAGCATGATTGACTGATAAGCTACCCCAATCTATCTTCAATCAATTTGTCACATGCAAAGTTTACACCTGCAGTGAAAAAACTGTCAAATGTACAATACAATGGGCAAGAGGGGAAAAAAGACACCTCTACTCATTCTGAGCTCCTTGTGGGAGGTCAGCAAGCTCGTCTGCACAGAGAGCACATACATATCCACATCACAACACCCTAAACCACATGACAAGCAACTGGGTTGGGTAAGGGTGTGAGAGGCTACCTATGGTAGCCGCATTAAATTATGGTGGTTTTCCTTTAGTGCGAACAACTACATGTATATTTTACAGTTGATCTAACAGTCCTTCACTGGTCTCTCAAGCTCCCGTTGGAGAGCTGTGAGCTTGTCCGAGATGTCATCAATTTTGCGCTCAAAGAGTATAGAGCATCTTACATTAGAGGAAACTCAGCTCTTATATAATCACGGGCTGTGACGATATAACTTCTCACACATCAGTCTAAAATGGGAAAAATCAGCTATCCACATATCTTAAAATCTCTTGAGTATTACCCAGCTTCAATTTAATCCCGAAAATATCATCCAACCATTGGATGCATTTAAAAATATATCACTTATACACATTTCATGAGGCACTAAAAATAGAGCAGAGGCTAGGGATTGACTTCAGTAGCACTAGCAGCACCGAGTGACTGACACAGCTTTGCCTTCAAACAGAAATAAATGGCTTTGAAGCCATTTGAACTAAATGCATTTTAGATATTTGGGTTCTAATGTTGTCTAAATAAGAAGGAGGGGGTTAATTAACACAAAGCAGTTGAAAGGACAGAGAGAAAGGACAGGATACGCGGAAGGTTTTCTTATGTTATCTTCAAAGTCTTTAATATCGGCCTGTTTCTGACCAGAGGGCTTGGTTTAATGAAGCTGTTTTTCTTCTTCTCTCTTACCCTCTGTCCTCATCTCCCCAAATGCCTCTTCTTTGCTGTCCTCCTCTCTATCGCTCTCTCTCCCTCTGTTTGGCACTCCCCCTCTCCCTTTGTGTTTATCTGCCCTTTTCATATCTGCTCACTTGTGTTTCATCTTGACGACTCTTTTTGCTCTCTCCCCATCACTCCTCTGTGTTCCCATCTCCTGCAGGTGGATTATCGCACAGAGGACGGTACGGCCAACGCAGGTTCAGATTATGAGTTTGCAGAGGGAACGCTGCTGTTCAAGCCGGGAGAAACCCTCAAAGGTAAAAAACAACACTGACTACAATAATTTCTGACATATTTTCAATAAACATGTCATTGAAACTGATGCTCAAATAGCAGAGGTCATCTGCAGCTCCTGAGGCAGATTTCTTTTTTCCTTTTTTTTTTTTTTTTTGCTAGTGGTTTCACGGGGGGAAAATGTAATTAAATTAAACATTTTAGCAAATTATTATAATTACTTTGCACCTGAGAGCAAGATGCTAAAACAACAATTCTTTTCTCAGAGATCACAGTGGGCGTCATTGACGATGACATCTTCGAGGAAGATGAGTATTTCTACGTTCACCTCAGTAACCCTCGTGTCGTTGGCTATCCGGAGATTGGCACTGCACCTCTGGATGCCAGCGCTACCCCGAAAGCCGTGCTGGGTGACAACCACACTGCCACAGTGACCATCTATGACGATGATCACGCAGGTAAAAGGAAGCTTCACCTTAACTGTGTTCACAGGTGTCACGTGGTGTCGTGATATTCAGACTTTTAACACCTTAAAGTATTCAGTCTAAGATTCCTATGGGGAAAACCTGCCGCTGAATAATATTGTGGAGGGCCACAAGTGTCAAAATGAATTAAATAAATAATTCATTGTGTCATTAATTAATTAAAATAGAAAATAATTGAATGATTACATATATAAACAATAAAATATCAAGGAATTCAATTTAAAACATTTACAAAATTATTTATTTCCAATTTTAATTAATTAATGACACATTTAATTAATTATGTAACGATCTATTTATTCAATTCATTGTGGCACTTGTGGCCTTCCATATTTTTAGGCCACGTCACACACTGGTTTGTGAAATTCTTTTTTAAAGCCTCAATTTTAGCATCCTGTTATTAGTAAACAACAAGTGACCATGTTTGGAGGAGACCCTGAATACTAGCTCAGGTTAGTTAGGTTAGTTGGCCAGACTATGCTAATGCTTTGAACCATACAAGTGGGATACCAAAACTTCACTTGATAAAACCTGACAAGTGGACTTTGGGACAGGCTGTGAGTGCAATTAGCACCAACAAGGTGCAAAGTCCCATTCACTGAATCAAGTTATCAGCAGTGGAGCCTAGCACACAATCATGTATCCAATAGAGCAGCGGTCCCCAGCCAGGGCCACGGACCGTTACCAGTGAGTCATTTGGTACCAGGCTGTGAGAGTTGAGGCTCAAGTGTGAAATTTATGGTTTTTACCACATTTTTTGTCTTGGTTGTATCATTTTATTTTGTTGTATTTATCCACGACACTTTGAAGGTCGGAAAATATTGTCTGACATTAAACGTGGCAAAAAAAAGTTGGGGACCGCTGTGTTAGAGGACCCAACTGTAGAGGAGATTAACCCCTGAAACTGCTGCCTGATGTACAGGGTGGGCCATTTATATGGATA